AAGTGACCACATCACTAACAGATGCTGATGTGGTCTTTAAAATCTAGGCCAATTAAAAGTCTCTAATTCTCTGTAATCTGCTGTCATTAAATCTAACCTTCAATAACATGAATTCATCAGGAACAATTGCGAAAATGTCAGCATGATTCTATTACATTGAGTAAACAAACGTGGACACAGATTCGAGCCACTAATGTTTTCCACCGCTTAGGGTCTGTTTCCGTGCGCAGGGACGGCTACAATGCACGCAACAAACGGAAGGTAACATGTATTTTCTGGGTCAACATGGAGCGTGATTTTTTTAAATTAAAAAAAAAAAAGATTTGAGCTTCTTTCCAACCCTAACCCTTTAATTTATAGGTGCTGTCCCGAGTGAGAACCCTTGAATGGTTACTAGGTGCTGTTCCCGAGTGGACACCACCCTTGTGTGGTACTAATTGTCCTAATTACCTAACCCTTGAAGGTTGAACTAGGTATCTGCTGTATCTGGGCTTGGTAACCCTTGCTTGCCATGTCGGTACTAGGTGCTGTCCTTTTGTCTGGACCTAACCCCCCGAGGGTTTTAGGTGCTGTCCCGAGTGGACCTAACCCTTGAATGGGTACTAGGTGCTGTCCCGAGTGGACCTAACCCTTGAATGGGTACTAGGTGCCGTCCCGAGTAGTAAATGCGGCTGGCGTGACGCTAACCACATCACCAACAGAGTCTGGATTGGTCTTTAAAATCTAGGTCTAGCCCTAAAAGTCAAATACGACTGAAGACGATGAAATCGCTCCCTTACTTGTGCGAAATTGTCAAACATGATTCCAGACATGACCTTTTTTTTTGGACACAGTTCGAGCAGACTATCAAACATCTTCGAATTCAGGTCTGTCTAGTTTTCAGGTGCAGCCAGGGAGGTAACAATGCCACGCAACAAACATGTAATAACATGTATTATCTGGGTCAACATGCGATAACAGTATCCGGTCTGGAACTCCCAACCTGACTTTTCCCAAACGTCAAAATTAATTTATAAACCTCCTTACCCACACCGGTTTTGCAGGTTACACCAGGTTGTGTGGCCTAATTATCCTAATTATATAACTTCTTGAAGGTTGAATTTGGTATATGGGATTGGTATCTGGTCTTGTCATGTCGGTTTACCACCAACAGTGGTACTCTTTAATATCACGATGTCAAATTGTCTGTCCTAATGGTCTGCCCCGAGCAGTTACAAATTTAGGCTCTCATGCGGGAAACCTGAGTTCGATCCCCGGTAAGGTAATGGATGTTTTCTGTCGGGGCAAAATTAAACATTCTGACCCGCACAGTCCGTGGCGACAGCACTAGTCAGGCGGCCGTAACTCCCCAGGCCTACCCCTACCCCTTTTCTCGTCTACGCCCTTTAAAAAGCGGTAAAAAAGACAGTAATGGCCTTTTTTTTTTTTTACAGTTGGTCTACTATCTACATCTTCGAATTTCTGGTTGTCAAGATTGTCAGGTACCAGCCAGGAAGGTATAAACTCCCCGCATACACGCATGGGGGGAAGGATAGGGGACGGCCCCGTGGCGTAGTGGCTAGATGCTCAACCCCTGGCCAGAACGTCTTGGGCAGGGGCCTCGCGGCTTTAGCCTAGGACTTCATCAAGTCTACATCCGGCTTTTCAGTTGTTCTAACTTGTTGTAGCCTACATAAATTTAATTAAATAATCAACCCGATTTGTATCAACGTCTGCCTTTTATTAACTTACATACTGTAAAGTTTCATAACAGGCGCAACTTAGAACGGCAGGGGCCTCGCGGCTTTAGCCTAGGACTTCATCAAGTCTACATCCGGGCCTAACTACGTGGTTTACAAACCTCACAACAGGATGATATTGATGACATAATTTCTCCAGGGCTGAATGTTGTCCAGATACTCCGCTCACTCCTTGTGGAACCAGTTCCGTAAGACTGGGGTTCTCTACCTACTCTGAAGCAGTTTCCATTTGATCTCAGAGGGTCATAAATTCAAATATACAAAAATGCCTCTCGGGTTAGCACTGTGGGGAAAAAAAGTTCGTTTTCTTTTTGTGAAAACAACCAAAGCCCAGTTGAACAGTAACAATTCACAATGCACACAGAATCACACTAAAACCGCTTGATGCATGAGCTAATTGACATAATAATGTAAAATCTATGCTCAACCAAACATTCTCTGTTTGTTCACCGATTCAGGTTTCTTCTCAGTACAAATACATTGTCGATAAAAATTGCAGCGTTCAAACGATCAGACTAGACATGGCATTTTTGTTCGATCAGACCCGTTCTTTCTTTTCGAAGCAGTAAAATAATAAGGCTTACATATCAGCAAGTTTTTATTTTGTGTTATTGTTAATATGGCTGTGCAAAATATAGCGTGTGGATATCTTCTTACATCTAGGGTCCGTGCATTGTCATGTGTAGCGGTTCTCACTGGGTGGCGTGTGGCCTCTCTACTTCAGTGTTCCTCGGCATTTGTACACCCGCTGCCCACCAAAACAGTGACAATTGTGTTCGCTTAAAGATGTCTTGCTGGGCTGTTTTTTTTAATCAGACACTCAGCCCTTAAATCAGCAGCTCCCAATAAAGCTAAGACCCGCGGACAATTTTTATTCTCTAAAGTCTTCCACACGCCCCAGACTTTTTAAACAGCCATCCTGAAGAATTTATTTTAGTTTATAAATATTAGACTTGCATTTTGTCAATTCTCCTGACAGCCATGCTACCGCTGCAGCCTGCATTCTAGGCCTTACTTTCAACAATAGGTGTTTCCTTTATTTTCCAGACTAAGGTTTTTGTGTCTGCACCATGGGCCAGCAGACCTGGATCAATTCAATGTATTGGTATTATTGATCATTACAAAACAAAAACCCTAATCTTCACAGATAAATAGTTCTGCTGTTTGCCTAGCGTTCTGATAGTCCTGGTATCGTTTACCGGCGATATCGTTCGGTTAACAAGTGCATTTTATGGACTTACTGTGGTATAGTCGCTTGGGTTACAGAGTTTGTGGTTTGTGTCATGTTCTCGGCTGGTGGACAACCGTTCTGTGGAGATAGACCGAGCCGGGATCAAATTGCCTACAATGGACTCGATCCTATCACCGTTTGTTTAAAATAAGTTACTAGTTGCATAGCCTCGATTCCTCAATTAGGGTAGTGAATCAAGCACCTAGCTTTCTCGGATTAACATAATAGAAAGCTCATTTATATAACTACTAGCTGTACCCGGCCACGCGTTGCTGTGGCATAGTTTGGCTAAACGGAAATGAAAGAAAATAGAAATCGCTCGTGTCTAATACAATCATTGTCTGCTCAGATATAGAGATAGTCTTTGATCCCCCCCCCCCCACCACCACCACAACTAAATCCACCTACTACTCTCTCCCTCATCAAAGGTTTTTGGAAAAGAAAGACAATGGAAATCGCACGTGTCTAATATAGTTAATGTCGCAATCATTCTCTGCACAGATATAGAGATAGTCTGGTTTTCCAACTTTAGAACACGCACCTTATAATTGTGTCTTTATATTAGTGGTCGTTTAAATGGTGTTATTAGCACAGTAACAAAAATGGTTGTTTGGTTATCACATGTTAAAGCTGTTTGTATTTTTATATGCTACAACTGTACTTGTGAATAACAAAGTGAGTCGTAAAAAATAGAAAAGCGGAGGTAGCGTTAGTAAAATATAAACAAATTAGGTAATGAGAACTTGAAAACCACGTGTAAAGCTCTTTAAGTTCTCTTAAATTTAAGTCATTACCCCATCCCCTCCCCTCTTCCACCGACTACTGCTCTCTCCCTCTTCGAAGGATTTGAAAATCACTACCTGGCGATATTTTGTTGTTGCTGTAACTGACATTGACATCCCTGTCCATTTGGACTAAAATGGGGAGCAGGAATTGTAATAGGTAGTGAATGGGGCTAGTGTAATATTTACCACATCATCCTTCAAGTACCAGTACAACTACTACCACGACCACACCACAGTAGCTAAAATAATGTCACTGCTATCTGTGTTACCATCGGAGTAGACAGAGAGTCGTGAGCCAGAAGATTTGGTTCCGCATGGCTAGTGCTGTCGCCTTAGACTGGTCAGGTTAGGATGTATAATTTCACCTCCCGACAGAAGAACGCCATCCCTCATTGAAGTAGTTGGGAGAGAAAAAAACACTTAAAAAGCAAATGAACACATGAAAAAAAAAAAAACCATAATTAGGAAATGAACGCCATGGTAAACAGCACAGCTTAAAATTCCAACGCAGATGAAATAATTAAATCTAAATGAAAATAAATGAAAATCTATGAAATTTCAGCGTAACCATGCAATCGGAAAGTTTACAAATGCAATCATAAGTATGCGAAATTGTCAAATTTAATTATCAAATGGTTTACCCATTTACTTGTCTTTTTTTTTTTTTTTTTTTTTTTTTTTTTTTTTTTTTTTTTTTTTTAAGTATTAAGGCAACATGGCTAGTGCTGTTACCACGACAGAGCAGATGAGGATATTATTTTAGTCCGGGGTAAAAAAATTAACTACTGCGGATTCGAACCCAGGTCTCTTGCACAGGAACCCAGAGTTCTAACCATTCGACCAAGCAGCCACTTAATCGGATCAACGAAAAGAGAAATTAACTATTAGAGATGTGTGTCCCTACTACTGTGTCCCGATTAAAACACAACTCAAAACCGCTGTACCACGACCTACTCTATGTATTAGAGAAGGCGTTGGCTGCACGTAACTCGCCGGCGAATGGCGGAAGCCTTGCGTTCTGACTACGGCGCATGACTACGGCGCATGCGCAATTACTAACGTGGTCATAATTAAAAATCACTAAAATTATAAATATTAGTTTCGAATATTATGGCCTAAATTGTGGTCACCTATCTCTAACAGTGACAGGTTGAATTTCAAACCATGATAGTTCAACATCCGGTATCAAAACAAACATATCCTGAAAGTTTCAGCTAAAAATCGAGTCTTCAAATTTTTCACATCATGAAGAGGACCCAGATCAGAGAGATGAAAGGCATCGATGGAACCCTGGTCTCTGATGTACTGAGTGCCTGGTGTTGCGCCTGTTGTGCCTTAGTACAAGAAGCGCAGGAAGTTCAGACACCAGGTGGAGCAACCATTGAGCGTCACTAACTCAAGTCTCCTGTAGCACACAACTGACATGTTTTGAATTTTTGTAATCGCTTTGTAATCGTATAGTGTGGAGTTCTTGGAATATGTAAAGGAAACGAAATAATAATTTATATAAAAAAATAATAATAAAAGCTTTTGTTAAAACTACAATTCATTTGTCACGTTATTAATCTGAAAGTTCAACAGAAGAATTCCCGAGTAATTTGTCAAGTGCTTCACTCAAATATAAAGCTTGCACCAAAAAGTTTCACCAGACACAAATGAGTTCACTTATGATTTCTTCCTTCTGCCCCCCCCCCCCCTTCCCATGCTTTTTTTTTTTTTTTTTGGTTGTCAGTGTTGCTACCTACAAGTTTGACACTCATTAGATTACAAAATTGCAGTCTGGATGGTAGAAAACAGGACAAATCCCAGAGATCTCGTTTAACCTCTAAAGATGTTATCATTAGGGAAGCCGCAAAGAAACACAAGCCTTGTGTAATCTGCTGTCCCGTGTGGGATAGGGTGCGATCCATTTCTGGCTGGCTGGTCGTTGTTCCCCTGAAAGATTGTGTTCTTGTGGGTGAAAATCTCACTGGGTCAAATCCAGGAATCCATGCCCCACTGAACAAAACAGCTATATAAGGTCACCCTTAACGTTACAAGGAAGAACCCCGCCTTTCCCGTTCCAGGCCGCCCCAGGCAAATATGGTAGCCCTTTTTAGTGCTGCCAAATCCACTCCTAAAAAATATGGAATTCGCCCGCCAAGCCTAATCGAGCAGACATGATGCAGCAGCAAATACAAAACTTGGGCGAAAATGATCGCCACGCAGAAATACATTCAATCAGATAGCAAAGAAACCGTCCTCGATAAAGCAGGTCTACGGGCAGCTGGAAGAGGACACAGTTTGACATTTTTTTTTGGTTTCACGATTACGATTACAAGGAAGCTGGACATTAATTTTTCTTCAAAAAAAAAAAAAAAAAAAAAAACCTCGGCTGCCAAATGAGTAGCAGGTAAATTCTTGGGAAGTAAAGGCAACCGGCGTGATGTTGTCCACATCATTAACCGAGTCCCGAGTGATCTATAAAATATAAGTCCATCATCATATGCCACTTACGATTGAAGGGTGGACACGGTATCCTACAGTCCAATGTGGGAAAACGGGTGGACACGGTATCCTACAGTCTAATGTGGGAAAAAGGGTGGACAAGGTATCCTACAGTCCAATGTGGGAAAAAGGGTGGACACGGTATCCTACAGTCCAATGTGGGAAAAAGGGTGGACACGGTATCCTACAGTCCAATGTGGGAAAAAGGGTGGACACGGTATCCTACAGTCCAATGTGGGAAAAGCGGAGGGGAATAAATATTATCCTTTTCTTTAAAGTTTAGTGTAGAAAGTCAAATGTTAATAACTATAATATTTTTAGCAAAATTCACATAGCTTCATTTAAATTAAGCCACTTTAATTAAAACTGGAAACGTCAAATCAACGTAGCAATACAAATATGGGACTCTTACGTAACTTTATGTCAAGCGGGACAGTTATATAATAACAGGAAAACATCGATTATTATTGACTGGAAACACTATATCAACGTAGCAATACAAATATGGAGCTCTTACGTAACTTTATGTCAAGCGGGACAGTTATATAATAACAGGAAAACATAGATTATTAATGACTGGAAACACTAAATGAACGTAGCAATACAAATATGGAGCTCCTACGTAACTTTATGTCAAGCGGGACAGTTATATAATAACAGGAAAACATCGATTATTATTGACTGGAAACACTATATCAACGTAGAAATACAAATATGGGGTTGGGATCATATGCCTATTACACACCAAGGGGCGGTAATGTGTGCTACACTGTAGCCTTTACCAAGTTATTTCCCTTTCAGAAAATTAAAATTTCCACTTTAACTCTCCTTTCATTTTCCTACTCCACTTTGGGCAGCTACCCGAAGGTTTAATCATCTTGCGATTAGATAATTTCAGACTAGATGGTAATTCAACAGACCAAATCTCCAGATATCCCTTTTAATTTTTAAAGAAGGTAAAATTGGGCCAACCCTGAATTAAGAATCGACATCATTTCACTCGGAACACTCCCATAAGCGCTTCGCTCCCATCTTCAAAAACAAGCGAAAAGTTCAAATTCCTGTGGTACCAGTAACTGTCTGATTTGATTTTATATCCGTCTCGCCTTTTCCTTAAGTTATCAGCGTCGGCCAGACCCCGCTATAACTGCATGCAGCTCCATTCAGAAGGTAATGATCTATTTGTGCCTCAGCACTGTTTACTAAGTTCTAACGGATCCTCACAGCATCTAGCTTGTCATAATCAGTTCACAACCAAGTGATGAAAAGCCGGCCAGTCTATCTGCTGCTTGTTTCCTAACATACTGACATGACCTGAAGAAAATATCTAAGGCACGCTAACTACCCGGGACCTCGGAAGCGATTGAAGTACACCCAGCTTGGTTTAAATTAAAGCAGTTCTATAAAAACACAGATTCTCGGGCTCTATTGTGGAAAAAGAGGGGGAGGGGTGTGGGGGGGGGTGGGGGGGGGCGTCGGGATTGTGACTGAACAGATCCACTTCATCTCTAGCAAGCATGTCATAAAAGTAGACGAATTATTATTATTATTTTTTTTTTTTTTTTTTTTTTTTGAAGTAGGAGTGCATTTACCTTAGAGGCAACAATTTGCAAAACCAAACAGATTCTCTGGAAGAAGACTAAACTCCAGAAGTGGCCGATCAACTAGAGCTTACAGCTGATGAAGGCATGAAGAATAAGATATTAACAATAAAAAGTAACAATATTCGTCCATTCGAGAGAAATTTTACTGTATAAATAGAGTGTCCGTTTATTGCTACATTGCGTGCTATTTATTCTCATGTGAAGAGGCAATGCATTTTAATGTGGTCGCAACTTTAGTATTCCATTCCTTGTTTTTTTTTTTTTTTTTTTACATTTTTTTTTTCAAGTATGCTCTCTGATTTCTAGTTCCTGTACCTATTTCTGTATGTAGCATTCACTACCTTTAGTTTGTATCTTTCAATAGTTTCAATAGTAACAATTGTACATCGATCAACAACAATAGATTCTCGCTCGGCTGTTAAGCTAACACAATTTTTTAAAAGGGCACTAATCATAAACCTGCAAACGATGAAATAGAAATATACAGAGTTTCCAACCCTTAACACAGAATTACGTAGAGACACTTATCTCCTGTGTTTCTTCTTCGACTCCACGGGCTCTCATCTCTGGCGAAATGTCGTAGTAGTTCATCCACCTTCTGACTCTAGTCGTAGTCCAGAATCTGAGTGTTTTGCGCTCATTTTTTTTCCAGACCTGACACACATGCATGCAAACTGTTACTTATTTGCTCCTGTGACAGATGCACGCCAAATTCAAAGGAACCCCCTAACAAGTCGACTCTTACAACATGCTTGTTGGGGTAGCAGTGGGTCTACTCGTGTTTTTTTTTTTTTTTTTACAATAGTACATTAAAACCGACACGAAAAGACCTTTATCTCAAATACCGTGGTCTGTTCTGCAAAGCAACTGTTAGTCCTTAAACATCGCCACGCAAAGCCAGATACTTTTCAGCTCCAAAGAAGACCCCCATGGATTTGAGAAACACTAGAGCCTGCAAACAGAAGATCAGAACCGAAACACTCGAGCCTGCAAACAGAAGATCAGAACCGAAAAACTCGAGCCTGCACACAGAAGATCAGAACCGAAACACTCGAGCCTGCAAACAGAAGATCAGAACCGAAAGACTCGAGTCTGCAAACAGAAGTCAGAACTGAAAGACTCGAGCCGGCAAACAGAAGACAGAACCGAAAGACTCGAGTCTGCAAACAGAAGACAGAACCGAAAGACTCGAGTCTGCAGACAGAACCGAAAGACTCGAGTCTGCAAACAGAAGATCAGAACCGAAAGACTCGAGTCTGCAAACAGAAGATCAGAACCGAAAGACTCGAGTCTGCAAACAGAAGATCAGAACCGAAAGACTCGAGTCTGCAAACAGAAGATCAGAACCAAAAGACTCGAGTCTGCAAACAGAAGATCAGAACCAAAAGACTCGAGTCTGCAAACAGAAGATCAGAACCTGAGGCAGAAAAGTTAAACATATTGCCACTGATCTGGGAATCTCCTTTCTGTTTATAACCATAAAAATGTCTAGTTTAATTCAGCTATGGTTGAGTTATGTGTTGGGTTATCCCAGCACTCCGGACACGTCCAAAAATGCTTAGATTCCCAATTTAACATGTACATCAGCGTCCTGCGGTTAATAATGTAAGTACTATGCTGGTTAACAAGACTTTTTGTACGTCCGTTGTGCCTCTCATGTTTGGCTGTGCCTATCTTTACTACCAGTTCTTGTATTCGAAGCAGTGATGTGGACACGCTGCTTCCAAAATCCTCGCATCGTCCTCTTTCCCTAAATGCGTTAACAATGTCAGGGCAGTCCATAGGTCGGTCAACTAAGACAAAACCGGTCAGTCTATCATCTCATTAGTTGCCAACAACACCTGTATGCCTAGTGATAGAGATGAAGGTAGCTGCACGTACAGGGAGCTTCATAATGACTCAATCCGCTGACTGTGTATGGAACCTGTCTCGACCCGACGGATCATGCTCATAGAATCACTGAACACTCACACTCGTGGGAATAGTTATCACGAGTCGAAAGGTCCATATACACTTTCTTTAATACATATAAGTTCCTAAAAAGTCAGAACTTGACATTAAGCCATAGTTGTCAAGGGACTAAATGTTCATATTCATTTTCTTCAACACCCGTAAGTTTCCTTCAACTCCGAACTGGACTCTGAACCATCAAATTCACAGTGGACCCATGTGTCAAAAGACGGAATGGCTAAGGATAAATGGTTAGTAACGTGGAGCGTCTCACGCGCTGTAGGCACCTTTGTACACCCTTCTTCATCCGGACGTTCATGATCTCTTCTCTTGCAGGTGGCCTCTGCTAGTTTG